CCATGTTGGATATCTCCGAGTGTGTGCTACACTTGTCATCAATGACACAATAGGTCTGAAGCCTTTCAGGCTGAGAAGTTGCTGATTGCAGTGGCGGCGGATGGAAACAGGCGCTCTCCGCCGCTCTCGTTGCTCATGCTTGCCATTAAACGCCGTAAATCATCCGGATTGGGCTGGAAAACACGTCAGCCCGTGTTGCTTTCGTGTTTGTTTCATCCGCGACCAGTTGATTGTGCGCCACCGGAAGGCTCTCACGTGAGCGCTTTACAGCGATGGGTGCACATCCGGCATGTCGCTCAGTACTCGGGGCGTATTTGTGCTCGGCAGTATGGACACGCACACACGCGGATCGAAACAGTAACTGACAAGTGTAATTTCCCTGCTTGCTGATGAAGTGCTGCGAAAACTCAAACACCCTTTAAACAGGCTTAAGACCTAATGGGTCGGGGGGTCGGGGGTAGATCTCTTGTCGTTGGATTATTTTGATTTAAACGATGGTACAGACATGCTCTTGTGAAAATTGTCTTTCCCGTATTTTACAACAAAGAACATTTAATTCCCCCCAATTTAAAGTCTTTTCTTTTTTTAATGTCGATAACTTTTCAAGAACAGTTGCCAAACCAATTCCTTTGGATTACTGTTATTAATATCGCGATGTCCAGTTGTACATTTACAGATGAATGTTAAATTGAACTTCTCATCCCCACACAAAAAGAAGGCTTTCGGCTTTTGAGCACTGATTTTAAACATGATGTACACTCAAGGAAAGACTGTCAAGATAATGTACAGGTGCCTCTCAATTAGAACATGGTGTGAAACTTAATTGAGCTCACTCGGGTGGAGTCAAAAATGATCATTGCCCATATTTGTAGCGTCCACTGCAAATAGGTCACAAATGATATGATCCTAAACAGTTTCTCCCTTCAAACAATACCAGATGTTTTGATTTCAAGGAAATACACCCAAAGCTTTCCATTAACAACCCAGGCTAAAGTGAGCTCCTCCAAGACATACAAATCAACAATCTCTCAGTCGAGCTACAATATATGACTTCAGCATACCGATTTCTCTTGAGACGGGCCTTTGGTAGCATGTTGTGGCATCTTAGCGCATGCAAATAAGTGAGTTTTGCAGTGAAAAGCTCGGAGAAAAAAAATCAAATAAAAATGGTCAATTTTGTGAACAGTGAACCGTGACTGCGGTGGGATTGCGGCATCATTCGACAGACAACAACCGCCACCCCCTCCCCACCTCTCCCCTCCAACATCGGCTAACAAAGAAAAGCTGTCAGATCAACGTCTCTAAGCTTTTTTCGCTACCTCTGAGGGCCATAGCGCACACCCACCCCCACCCACACCCACACCCACACCCACACCCACACACACTCACACACACACACACACCTCAGCCCTAATGTCTGATGAATGACGAGGGAAGAAAAGAACACTCTTGTTTAACTGAATATGAAGGCTTTCATTAAATCGTGCTTTTTCTCCCTCCCCCTTGACCCATCGTTGTCGGTTTGACGTCATTCAAAGAGCAAATGAATGATGTTCTCGGAGTGAGAAGCTATCTACTCAGGAGTTGCAATTAATCAGAAGACAACTATGACAAGGACTGCTGCATAAGGCCTCCGGGGCCAAAAAGTGTGAATGACTTCAGAATGCAGATGCTACCATGGGTTGATGTTATTGTTAAGTTGAGCACAACTTCACGTTAGTCTTAATGGCTGGCTTATTTATTTCAAACGTCTAGAGATCATCACCCGACTCCATTTAGGGAAACGGTTCATATTTAGCCCTTGAACGTCTCGATAAATAATGTATCAAAACTTAAATATGCCTTTCTGAGGGTTTGAAAAGGAAGAAAAATTGTGAAGCATGGTCAAGATTCATGTTGACTCAATATTGGCTCTAAATGTGCAATTTCGGGGGGGCTCTGAAACCTTGCACAGTGCAATGTAAACACTACTTTCACCTTTCATCTTAGCCTCACCCCAAACCAGTGGTGCCTGGGTGACTCAGCTCATCAAGCATTCAAGACACGTTCCACCACTGCTAACGAACAAGTTAGCATTTTTTACAGTCTGTAAAACATACAATTTTCGCTTGATGCTTTGTGTGCTTATTTTAATGGAAAATTTATTAAGTGATTATTTAAATGGAAATATGTTGGGTCGAAATACTTTTCCATGTCGGGTCGAAATGCTTTTCCTAATTAGAATGGCTTGTAATAATTTAGTTACAAACAAAAAAAAAACAATCGAATGATGTTAACTTGTTCCAAGACCTGTCATGATGTCAACTGTGTGGCTTTTTGTTGAATTTGTTTTGCTCTAGGGTGGCATGCCACGTTTGTTCAAACACATTTCACTCGACCATGAGTTCAAATCTTGAGCGGCGGATCATAAGAAAATGTGGCACATGTAGGGGTTGCAAAGCGGAGATTGCGGGCGTGTACATGTAACAATGCCTACTGATGACGAACGGACACCAATGAAGCTTTTATTTTCCTCTCAGGTTGTAACAATGACGGTCATAAATCACAGCGGCCCGCAGCGCCCGACACATTTCGGAGGCGCTCCGTCGGCGGATGTCTTTTGTTTGTCCCCGCCTCGGCAAATTAATGGTCCCAAAAAAAATAAAAAAAGAGCGTGCAGCCCTCATTACATGATGTTGTTCCCTCAGAAACAAGCTGGAGAGGCCTGCGAGTTACTAATATGTGCCAATTAAAAACCTCACACTCTTTGCTGACCACTCCGGACCCTACAAATGGACTTTGGTCAAAGTGTATTTTCTCTTCGTGTCTCTTTAGCTACACTACTAATTTGCAATTATGGCGCCGTCCATCCGTCGATCGCCCGCCATCTGCATGACTGCACCTTACACGATACACGACTAGTGGGGACTGGTGTTTCAATGCTGTTGCTTAAACAGTCCTCTGGATTAAAAAAAAAAAAAAAAAAAAGACAAATGTTGCCCTTGTTCATGCTCTAATTGCGAGGAAAACTAATGGGAAAGCATGACCTTTGGTGCAGCTTGTGCTCCGCACACGGTGCCCCGTTTTCGTCCGGGCGCAACGGGAGACACGGCTCGTTTGGCAACAGCGCAGCAATTACAGCGCGTGAAATTCATGACGTGACCGCGATTGGCTTGCGTGGGAAGAGCGAGCTGGCGCAGAGCAGCCTGCAAACCGCTGCGACTCCTGCGGATGTGAAGCGCCTTGACGAGTGCATCACCCGTGCAATTTGCTCTTTTGAAAAGCCCCCATCCTTTCCTACACTGTTTCCTCCACTGGCAAAACTACCTCCCCCTCCCCACCCCCTCCCTTGACGTCGGACCGAACGGCTCATAATGCTCCACCGCGCCAGCATAAGGAAACCACTAGACCTTTAAAGTATTGTATCCCAGAATATACGCTCCCATATCTCAATAATAGCACATTCTCCTGAAATGCAATAGAGGATGACCCCACATTCAAAATGTCGCTTTTATAAGCATAATTCTGCCAAATATTGACTGGCCCTGTGACAAAGTTATACATTTCACAATATATGCAATATTGCGGATGAAATGTGCGGTAGTCGACGCCGATGTTTCTGGTATTTTGATTCGGTGAAAAGTAGACAAGAGGACAGTTAGGGTTGGTAAAAATAAAATGGAATCGAAGGTGGAAATGTCCATCGGCAGCGGATGATCTCTGTTGGCCGCTCCGATCCCGCTGGCTTCCCATGTCTTTTCTTGGAAAATTCATTCTTGTTGTGTATGAGCAGCATCCAATATGAGCTGAGTGGTCTAGCAGAGGTTGGTTACGGGTTCGCAATTAAAATTTCATTTTCGACATTCCTCAGGAGTTTGCGTGTCTTACCCGTGCTCAAGTGGATTTTTTTTCCAGGTACTCCAACTTTCTCCCAAATTCCAAAAACGTGCGAGTTACCAGGATCGAAGACAAAGGTGTCCATAACATACAAAGAAAAAAAATCCGGCGCTGATCTTGCCACGGAAGGTTCCGGGAATTTTGCCACCTGTGCCACAGACGTCCGCTGAGGCCAGATGACAAATAGAGAAATGGTAAACGACTCACCTCTGTGACCAAAAATCAGCACTCTTCCCTTCAAGGAATGCTTGACGAACACATTTTCTTCCGACGCAACACGATCAACGAGTCCAGACTGCTCCACTTACGGCTTTGCGTGGAGTGTGGAGGATAAGCTCAGGTTTAGCCGTTGAACTTGACTCCGGAGATAAGAGCCCTCGACGCCGCGGATTTAATCAACATCCTTTAATGAGCACATTAAGGATGCGTCGATGCGACAGACGCGCTTGCCGCCGATCTACGGAACGCCCATGCGTGGCTTTGTGCACTCTGCTCTTTTGTCTTTGCCTCGTTAGCCTGCCATGCAAGATTTTGGAATGTGGGAGCCAACCGGAGTACCCGGACAAAACCCGCGCAGGCACGGGGAGAACATGCAAACTCCACACAGGAAGGCCGGAGCAACAATTGAACCCTGCACCTCTGCACGGTCAGGTGGACGCGCTAACAAGTCCTTCCTCGGGCAAATTTTTATTGGGAATAGAATGCAGGCTTTTCCATCTAGCCAACCGCTCCCCTCCTGGGCTGGTCACCAGTCCTTCATCGAGCACTCAAAAAGGAACCGAGTTCATGCCAGGTGCACAGTACACTACTCGTGATCCTCTTTGCAGCCCGCGTGAACTTGACACCCATCAGGAAGCACAGGAACAGTGTCATCGGCGTCCGACAGTTCGCCCATTATGAAAGGATGACTCGAGACGTCTTTGTGCACAGGTGGCCGACTTGCCATTTGCGCGGCACAAATTGCTTTTACCAGATGGGAGGGAATTTAAATCATTAGCCGCCTGGTTTTTCCGCTTTACACACTTTAAATCCATGAACATCTTGTGGCCACGCGACGATTGTCGTTCAAGATCCACTCTCAAAATGTGTTTCTTTCTTTCTTTCCTGCGCGTGTGCCGTGGCAGGATATCTGACTGTCACCATCGAGCCGTTGCCTCCCGTGGTCGTGGGTGAGACCGTGACACTCAAGTGCAACTTCAAGACGGACGGACGACTCCGGGAAATCGTTTGGTATCGGGTGAGTGCAGCGGCGGTTCATAAGACAGTATGAAAGGTGTCGACATTAAAGCGATTAATCGATCGTCAAAAATGATCAACATCTACAGTATTTTAAGAGTTCGGTCATCGTGTGGAGTCATATTTCAAATAAAATTAGACATTTGAAAACATCTGCTTTTACTTTGGAAAACAATGGCCAAACCAGGAACTGAATCACTTCCAAAAATATATCACAGCAATCCCCCTTGTGTGATATTTTTTAATTATTGTTTATTTGTCTTTTTCATCATTTAAACAACACCAAAGAGAGGACTTGTACAAAATAATATTAGCAATATAAAGCTAGCATTAGCACTGTAAACAAGCCAATGTTAGCACAGCTATGAAATGAATTGGTTGTTGTCCCCCCCGCCCCCAAAATATTTTTGGGGCTCGTGTTATTTCTGACAGATCATACTGACAGTTTTAAGAAATGTGACTCAGTGATTTTATTGGAATTTTTCCCGCCTCTGAGTGAGTGAAGCATTTTATACGGACTTTTACTGTGAAATAGGAAGTCGGTCTCCTGTGTGCCAGTTTCTCTGCCATGTCAAACCTCCGACTTTTACTTTGGCCAGCTGCTTGGGAGGCGTCCCTGGCTGTCGCCGCCGTCGCTTAATAGTTCACAGCTGGCGATTCGACGGTTATTAAAGTCCCGAGCGGTTTACTATGCCGCGTAACTGCTGCCAGTAATTAAATTTCTGTTAGGGAGACGAAGAAGAAGAAGAAGAAAAAAAAAAAAAAACAGCGTATGGCTGTAGGAGTTTATTTTGGGCCGTAAAACCACTGCATGAAATTAATACGCGTGTGCTGGCTGATATGCGGCGTCACATTCTTGCCTTTATGACTTCAACTCCTCAATAACACCAACACGGATTATCTTTGTCAAAACAGCAGGCGTCTTAATGAGGCTTGTGAGCGGTTCATGTGAAATAAGACGAATGTCGTCGTTAAAGTCGAGACTGGGTGTTTGATTGTTCTTACCTTTTACTCGGAGCAGTGGTTGACTTATTTTTACACTTAACGGCCTAAAATATTGCCTGAAGAGTTAATAAAGCCCAATCCTGCCACAAATAGCGATAACTGCCAGTAATTGATGTCCTCCTGTAAAAATTTTTATAATTGCCCATTACCCAAAGTATGATCCCAAAACACTTTAATATCATTTCAAACTCATCTCTCACCACCCTTAAAAAGAAATGGCTTAAAGATGATGATTTTCAAAAACTGCATAGGAAAAGTTCCTGACGGTGCACATGCAGCCAAGACTTACTTTTAGCTTCTTCTGCTAACAACACAAGCTAAACTTTTCTCCCCCCTGATTCCTGACATGCAAAGCTTCATTTGGCCACCCTTTGTTTTTGTTTTTTTCCTGTGACTTGAGAGCAAAAAAAAAATTGAGAAACGTGCACTCAATCTTGGCCGTGAACTCAACTTGGCTCACTTCAAGTCAAGTCAAGTCAAATATGCTCTGTGTACAACATACAGCACAGATGAAATTTCTTTCCTCTCAACCACAGTGCAAACATGCAGTGCATTAAAAACACACACAGCTAAAAATAAGGGCAGCAAAACTGAACTGCATAAAAAAAAAAAAAGACAAATATTCAATCAACCAGTCACCACTCCTGAAAAAAAAGGCTTCACTGTTGTGTATTTCAGACAACCTGATTGCTTTCCGTAACGTACACGAGCTTATTGGAATAGAAAAAAAAAAAACATAGACAGGCTAAGAAAGGAGCAGCACGATGTCAATGAATAGAAGCAAAAAAAAACGGTTTCGTTTCCTTACAACATTCCCAGAATAACTCACACACTCGCAGTTGTTATGACCTTTTTATTCCACACGAAAATGCAACGAGCTGGCAACCAAGCCACGTGTAAAAAGGAATCGGTGTCAAGGAAGTACTCTAGGTTGTAGTGATGCGTCTCACCTGAGAAATAAGCTTTGTACGTTGGGGAGAAAATTGTTACCAATCTCTGCGCCGGGCATTTATAAACAGGTGTCACTCGTGGTCTGGAGTGTTTTTATGATGTTATTTGATTTGTTTTTCGACATCTCATCGTTCGCTTAACACGATCTTCATAAACTGTCATGCGGTTCACCTGGCCTTAAATGTAAAAATAAATAATTCAATAAATCCAGGACATTGTTTGGGTTCCTCCTTCAGATTTACGTGAGCATTGTCAACGTCGCCATGGTTACGGAAAACCATTTGTTCTGTAAGGCGACGGAACAAATCTTCATGTGCGTTTTGGGCAAAAGGCTCTCCCTGCGATTGCTCTCGCGGGGAAAAACAGCAATCAGCCGCTGTGAAGGTCTGTCGGAAGACACAAAAACAATTTGCACTCGCGGCTGGAAACGTATCCCACCCCCCTCTTCCTGCAACCCACCCATTCATCACTCGCGTTGGTCTCAGCTATTCACCCGCTGAACTCATTCATCCCAAATGCGTCCTTTTGGTATTTTGATGAGTCTCAAATAAACTGTGACGAGTCTGCGCGGCGGCCCTGCCTCGCCGGACGACAGCGTCGCTCCACGGCTGAGTCACAGTGACACAGAATTATGCGAACAGTTGCGTATCATCTCTGTTTTGGTATCGTGACAATACGACATATTTGTACGGCCGAAACCGTGACCCAGGACAGTTTTCAATTGCCGTCATCAGCCACCGTGGTCATATGGTTACAATACATTTGTAGCACAATTTGTATCGCGACGCTGTGCAAAAGTTGCGAGGTAAGCCGATGGTGTAATGGTAGCGTTGAAAAAAAACGAAAAAAAAAAAGCTTTCTCTCTCTGAGGTCATCCTAGACAGAAGGGGCCCGCGCAAGGTCAGAAAGAGGTCACTCGCGTATCATTGATGACGTTCCTTTCGGCAACGGTGTGCGTCATTTCATCAGAGGGCTACAAAATGCGGCGTCCAGCTTGTGATGACCGACGCATTTGAAGGCCGCACTCTCAGGAGGATCGTAAAGCGGTCGGGGCAGAAAAGCGGCCCCGTCGTCTCAGGTGATGCGGCCGCTCGCACTGTGACGAGTCTGCGCGGCGGCCCTGCCTCGCCGGACGACAGCGTCGCTCCATGGCTGAGTCACAGGGACACAGAATTATGCGAACAGTCGCGTATCATCTCTGTTTTGGTATCGTGACAATGCGACATATTTGTGCGGCCGAAACCGTGACCCGGAACAGTTTTCAATTGCCGTCATCAGCCACCATGGTCATATGGTTCCAATACATTTGTAGCACAATTTGTATCGCGATGCTGTGCAAAAGTTGCGAGGTAACCCGATGGTGTAATGGTAGTGTTGAAAAAACAAAACAAAACAAAAAAAAAAAAAAACGCTTTCTCTCTCTGAGGTCACCCTAGACAGAAGGGGCCCGCGCAAGGTCAGAAAGAGGTCACTCGCGTATCATTGATGACGTTCCTTTCGGCAACGGTGTGCGTCATTTCATCAGAGGGCTACAAAATGCGGCGTCCAGCTTGTGATGACCGACGCATTTGAAGGCCGCACTCTCAGGAGGATCGTAAAGCGGTCGGGGCAGAAAAGCGGCCCCGTCGTCTCTCGGGTGGCCTCGACTCAGCATAACCGCCGATAAATTATAAATCAGCGGCTGCCAAACTTTCTTTGAATCTCGGCCTTTTATTTGACTAAAGAGTGTTGACTTCTCGTTTTACCTCCAGTTCCGGTGGAACCCGGGCTGACACTCACCTGGGGAATACTTCTATCTCATCGAAGCTCGGGCCAATCAGCGCCACTTGCGCTCAGACGGAATTTTTCAGCGCCGGCGGCTTCTGCATCCTGACATATTCCGTTTGAGGATTTTCAATGCTTCCAACACTGCGTTCGATATAAGCGAGCGTGCGCGTCAAGATAAAGCCGATCGCTTTAGAGAACCTTTTAAGCCACAATTAATCAAAACCCTCTTCAACTTTATGCGCGGAACAAGAGCGATAACACGAAAGGATTTGGGTCCCTTTCATCTTGAATACTTTTTTCGTTTTGCTCCCCAGTGGTGAATGAGGTCTTTTTTTTTTTTTTTTTTTTTTTTTTCATAAGCGAGCGTGCGCGTCAAGATAAAGCCGATCGCTTTAGAGAACCTTTTAAGCCACAATTAATCAAAACCCTCTTCAACTTTATGCGCGGAACAAGAGCGATAACACGAAAGGATTTGGGTCCCTTTCATCTTGAATACTTTTTTCGTTTTGCTCCCCAGTGGTGAATGAGGTCTTTTTTTTTTTTTTTTTTTTTTTTTCAAAGTGAAATCACAGGACGTCAAAACTT